TAAACTAACCAATTATTTCAAATAGAGTAACAAACTCATTCTGAAGTTACGTGACAATAATTCAACAACATTCTAATTAAAACTAGCCAAACAATGCAATGCTATGAGGGTGCATGCTGGGAAGAGGGTAAATAAAGAAATAATATATAGCCTATAATATAGAGTATAGAAAAGCTGAAAACCACTTGACTTCTAGAAAAGTTGTTAGAACTTCAGAATATTAATAAAACCACAATAAGGTTCCATTAGTGCATAACATTAATTATTGCATTAAATCGAGCACTAAATGTTGAAATAAACATTAAGATTAATGCTTTAGAAGTATTTTCCATTGTTTGTTCATATGAAAAAATGTTAACAGATGGAATCATACTATAAAGTTACCACGTTATTTAAAGGGATAGTTCACCCCAAAATGAAAATTCTGTCAGTGTTTACTCACCCTCATGTTGTTCCAAGCCCGTAAGACTTTCGTTTATCTTCGGAACACAAATTAAGATATTTTTGATTAAATCTGAGAGCTGTCTCACTCCTCCATAGGCTTCTAAAGGATTGAAACTTGCCGGCCCAGAAAAGTTATTAAAGACATCGTTAAAATAGTCCGAGTGACTACAGTGGCTCAATCTTAAGTTTATCAAGTGACGAGAATACTTTTTTTGCGGAAATCAAACAAAAATAACGACTTTATTCCACTATTCATTTCCTTCTGTGTGGGCCTCTGACTTGAGTTCACGTAGTCTAACAGCGCAGCGTTTCTGTATTGTACGTCACACGTAGGCTCACTATTGGCCGACGCTGGTCATGTGTGTGATGCGTGTGACGTACAACACAGAAGCGCTGCGCTGTTACACTACGTGAACTCACGTCAGAGGCAAGTTTCAATCCCTTAGAAGCCTATGGAGAAGAGATCCAGCTCTCAGATTTAATCAAAAATATCTTCATTTGTGTTCCGAAGATAAACGAAAGACTTGTGAGTAATTACTGACAGAATTTTCATTTATGGGTGAACTATCCCTTTAAAGTCGCCATGAAACAGAATTTACAAGTCTTTTCTTCCTTCACTCTAAAAACTGCTGGGTTTTGTTTCAACCTCACTTTGGGGCAAATATGGACAAACCCAGCCGCTGGATTACATTTTTAACGTTTGGGTTTGTCCATATTTGACCCAAAATTGGGTTAAAACAACCCAGCATTTTTTTGAGTGTTATTGTATATCCAAGTGAAGTGGCTTCTTGAACCAGAACAAATGTAAGGCGAGACTTGATTTTTTTTTCATTGGGAATTGATTGTATGGTTGAGGTTTGCTATTGGTTGATCTCATGTGAGTGACAGGTTGTCCCGCCCTTGCTGCAAGAGGTAGAGGGCGTTATTTTGATTAAAGATTATGAGGCACACACGTTAAAAACATAATGATGTGCATGGATAAATCATTTATAATAAATACTGCAATAGTCCATTTAAAAAGAATTCTCGATTTTGATTTCATGGTGACTTTAAAAGATATACTTTCCTTTTTTATTTTTTTAACCGAATCCAATTCGATAAAACTTTTCATGCTGTTACAAAACAGTAGAAACATGCAGGTATGACAGTGAATGCAGCCAGATTTCAGGCGGTTGAAGTCTGCAGAACATCTCAAGTTTCCCTACTAAACAGATCTGAGTTGTCATCCGAGCATTCAGACAGTCTAATCAAAGAGCATCAAGATCCGCTGGAATGCTGAACATCTGAAAAGTATACTTCTGCATTAAACTGAGACGCACGCAATGAACGTGATTTAATGGAGCTGCTGTTTACGCTTCTAGCCAGTCAAGTCTTGTCATGCTTCACCCAGAAGGAACTTAACATTAACATTTTTGACAGTGTACAGAAATGCAATTATATGACAAGCTGATACGGCCTCTCGCCACGCTCACATGCACGTAGTAGAAAACCACCTGCTAAAAAACATCAACAACGATTTGCTATCTTCAAGTCATGTCATATACAAGATAAGCGCAAATGAACATTACCACATGTGCTACAAACCACATTAATTCCACATAACTTATTTTTTTCAATTACGCATGAAGGGTTATTTACTTAAAGGAGAACTCCAGTCAATTTTAACATTGAGCTCATTTTTTTGTACATTTGGAGTGCTGTCAGTACAAACAAAAACGACAAAAATCGGTATTTCCTACACCGTGTTATCCTCTTCTTAAAATTCGCACCCTGTTGACTTCAATGGGGCAAGTTTTAAACCTGCTTTTAGCCTCTTAACAACCTTAATGTGTCATTACAAGTGCACAGCCATGTGAGTGGTGTTATTAAGAGTGACCACGATCAATCTGACTGCAGTAGATGTGAAAGATATTAATAAAAATGATGTTAATTCAGCCAGCTCACATACCTGTATTTACTTCCTGGTTTCGTTCGAAGTCCACAGTAGTCAATTGTCGAGTTCGCGCGCGCGATCATTAGTTATGTTACCAATAGTCTCGCGTAGCCAGACCTTCAGACCATAGACAGTAAAAGAAATGGACAGAGCCATCTCATTGGAACTCAGTTGAGACGGTTGAAGCCCATTTTTAGCGATTTCTGAGCACTTCCGTTCCTGACGCGCAGACTCAAACCGACTCAAACTAAGCTTGATGACGTGAGCAACCTGTCTGACAGACGTTAATCTTCTAGTAGCTGTGCCAAGAGGAATCTGAATCATTCCCTTCCGAAACTTACAGAGCCGGAGATCGTGAGTATTAGCTGTCCATGAGCTCGCAGCAGGAGCAGCTTTACAACTCTCTATGGGCTTCTCCCTTGACTTTATGCCTCGACGTCCCCCCGATTGCGCGCGAGTTTCTACTTCTGTCTATACGGTAATTTCTGTACAGCGCGACAGAGAGTCGAGTGGTTATGACGCAATCGTTAGCCTATTTTTACTAAATCTGTTTCTACGGGGCCATAACGTAACATAGAAGGTAATGGAGCCTTTTATACATTGTCGTGTTTCTTTAGAAATAAATAATGGACAAATTGAGTCTTTAAACGCCTCAGATGTAAAGTTATTCGCTGTCAAAGTGACGCCAAAATGAATGGGAGTCAATGGAAATGCTAACGCAAGTGAAGTTCTGCTACAAGATGGCGGCACCCGGCCGACTTCAACTTCCGGTCGATGGATTACCCCCTTGCTTCAGACTGACGTTCCGTGGGCGTGACGTCTGAGGCTGAGACTATAGGCTTGTTTGAGATGAGCAAAATCTGCGCAGAACCGATCACCGGTGATCAGCGCGAGATGCATGCCGGTTAGAAATGTGTCCGAGTGCGGTCCGCCTTGCTCTGATGTCATGCTGACGTGAGTCAAAAAAGTCTCGCGACCGCGAGGCGCACGTGTCGGATTCTGCAGTCGCGCGCAGTTGCTATCCACCGACTGCGCTGATCAAAAGCATGATGGGAAACGACTTGCTGACGGCACAGCTTAATGCTCATTGGTTTAAACAACCGTGATGTATTGTTCTCTTTTAAAATGTTTGATTTTAAAACTCTGATATCATGTTTTATGTGTATGTGGATATCCCCAAACTCTCTGACAGTGCGATCTATTTGATGTAAAAAAAATTTAATTAAAAATAAAAACACATATCTGTAAAGAAAAAAAATGATTCATAAACATATAGGCCTATTTAAAATGGAATTAAATAAGTACTTTGAGTGTCTTGTTCATTATATTTATTTTCATATTCAAGCAACAAAACTTAAAATACATCCAGTTTATTAGCAACACCGTGCACGAGTGTGAATCCCGCGATATCCGCCTTTGATCTCACAGGTGTCAGATCCACTGCGAGAAGAGCGATCTGTCCGGCTTGCCTGCGCTTTTTTCACTCCTCCTCTCACTGCAGCCGCCTACTCTCGACTACATTTCAGGCGAGGCAAGGCGCATCTCAAACAAGCCTTATGTTACCAATGGTCGCTCGCGCGAACTCGACAATCGGCTACTGTGGACTTCGAACGAAAACAGGAAGTAAATAATAATTACGAGTTTCCTCACTTTTATTTTAAGTCATCTGATCACTTTTTACAGTGTAAAAGTACATAAATAATATTAAAATAACACTGTTAAGTTGTAATTGTGAATTGTTACTGTATGATTTATTTTGCTACTCATAGCTGGGTTACGAGGCAACAGGTTGCACAACAAAAATACATGTCCCATCATTCTCTCTGGCAGAATAATATGATACAATAGACAAAAATGTACAATACAAACCAAAAGCACATCCTTCGCACTTCATTCTGTTGAATTGGTGCTTCCTGTGTCTGTGAGAAAGAGAAAAATCAAGAAAGAAATAGGAAATTGCTCCAAGTTAAATCAAAATCATTTAAATGCACTTGAAAAAAGGAACTGTCCCAGGAGGACTTGAAAGCAACAATAGCACATATTACTGGATGCAAAAAAAAAACAATAAGATAGAGTTTAGGAACTACTACAGCCCATTGTACAGATGAGGGCAGAGCAGGTCCTCATGAGCGACCGACCGCAGCATTAAAGGCCTTCATTATTCTTCTGTGGAGTTTGAATGTCCAAATGAATTCAAAAAGCGTATTTAGCATCTGCTGGTGTTTATGAGTAATCCCTGTGGTCAAATCCCCTTCCTGTTCCCTGACCAACAACCTAAATAAGCAGGATAAGGAAGCATAAATGAACAGGCAGTCTCAATTTGTCCATTGATGTTTCTTGGAGCAGCAATAAATTTGTATGCATGCAGACCATTTAATATACGGCGCAAAACGCTGTTTAACATAACTCTACGATTAATGAAAGTAGTTTTACTGTACATTATAGCTGAAATGCCTACATAAAGTCAAGATGAAACCAATGCAGATTAGCATTAATGGAGAGAAATCATCATTTTCAGGATTGAATTTACACAATTTATGACCTGTTAACAAACTGGCAAAATGAACATTTAATATGTTAAAAATGTGTGTATTGAGCAACCCAATGAATACAGCTCAGTCTATTTGATTGAAATGCACATACTCGATGAGAATTTATTGTCACAACAAGCACAATTTCTTGTCATAAAGTTACACAAAAATAATGGAACACATTTGCACAATTTATACAATCCTAAACTCATTGTACAATGGACAGGCTAACTAAGTTCCGGAGTTAAATATGTACTCACATTGCACACAATGATATTAAACCTACACAAGTATATATAGCTGTATGTCAAATGAAACATGGTCCGACATAAAAATCACATTATTTACATTAAACATCCATTTGATTTTGCAAAAAGGTTTCGATTTCATGTCGACGTCTTTCCATCAGTCCATAGTTGTGGCGTGATCGAGTTTCATCATGAAAACGAGAAGTCCACGTTATTAGTCCAAAAGTTAATAGCAAGAATTGCAGCTGCCACAAAGATTACAATGAACATTGTTTATTTTTATGCTGCATTTGCTCATATGAGGCTGGTGTCGATTACTTCACAAAGTGACACTGTTGCAAGTGTTTTTGTAAGAACAACAAAAGGAAAAGTAAAAAAAAAAAAAGTTGCGAAAGCAATTTTCGAATTAAATCAAATACTGACTTTTTTTCTTTATATCTGCCTACATTTATTATTAGTTTAACTAGGTTATAGACATCACTACATAGACTACATTTTACACGGTAAGCGTAAAAATATCTCAGCGTTTTTTGTCAGCAAGATGCTGTTTGGCAATGAAAAATGAGGTGCAACACTTGAAGAGAAAAAGATTCTTCGCATCATGAAAGATTCAGAAAATACTTCTGTACGATAAAAACGTCAAAAAAAGAGAAAAACTCTTCATTATATTTTTGTTGGATTCCTGTGTGTGTGAAACCAGTCCTGACATGAGGTCGCTGCATGAATCATCTAACTTTAGCATACAGTCATTTTGACACAAAATCCTGCGTCATATTCACATTTCACCCAACCCAGGTATTAAATTCACCTGCTTTCTATGTAAATTAGACTTATTAGTTATTGCGCTTTATTAACTAAAGTAAATTATAATCTTACACTGCTATCGCTCTCAAAAATTGGACTGTAAATGCAAATGTATTATTTATTAAAAGGGTTGTTTATGTATATTTTCTATTGATAATGGCAGCAGTTAATCATCACATGATGATCAAATGATAAGGAACATCAAGAATGGGGTATATCTTGTTTTGAACTGTTTGTGTATGAATGATCAAGTCAAGAGAGTGTGTAAGTGAATTCAGAAATGTGTTTCAGCAGCGTCATGTTCGTCACATGTGAGATAAAGGTACTGCAGTCTGAACCAAAACAAAACGAACAAACATACGAGTCTCCATTTACTCAGAAAACGGCGGGAACATGCCGAGGTCGGCAAAGTCTTCAATGTTGTAATTGGTTGATCCTTGAGTGGGATCGCCCGGCATCGGCAGCATATCCTGTGGGACAGAAATACAGCGCTCTGTTGAATCAGACAAGCTACGTTCTGCTTTGCCAGTGAGTCAGTGTAACTTTAAAGGCTGATTCACATCAGACGTCATTTGATGTCAGTGACATACATTGCCATAGGTTCTTATCACAAAGCATCAATAGCTGTTTCCATCACCCTGTTTTTATGCGCAAATTAAGGGAAAAAGCCCTTCATTTGCAAAAAGTTTTTACGCTCGCTTGAGGTGGTTTTTGACTTCGGCGAAAAAGAGTTAATGCGAACAATGGGTAAATTCTGACAAAGTGAACATTAAACCCACTTAAACCCACGTCACCCGCTCGAACAACTTGATGGAAATGCACCTAATTAGCTATTTTTTCTCTTCTTTTTTTTTTTTTTTTTGCCGAACTTTGAAAATATTTGCTTCACGTTCGGATGGAAACCCGGCTATTGATGCAGCATATTTGAATGAATGGAAATGGTATTCAAGAGCTACAAGTGAAAGAAAGATTTTCACCAAATCATATGATTTTAAAAGATTTCTTTTTTCTTTTTACAGCTTCACAGACATGGCCATTATGAGTAATGATCAGTGTCGTTATCGTTAAATAGAATTAATTGAATAAATGAAATTCAAGTAGAAATGATGCATTGGCAACTAACTAAAATAAAATAAGTTGAACTACTAATAATACTAAAAATTAAGATTAAATAGAAATATTAAAAACGAATAAAAAAAATGTAAAAGATCACAACAAAATTATATATTTACACACACAATATATATATATATATATATATATATATATATATAATAGTATATAAAATAACACTGATAATGATACATACTGTACCTTGATATAGTAATCCAATTCAATATGTTTTGAAAATGGGTATTGTGAATAATAATTAAAAATAAACAGGGAATGAATGAATCAATGAAAGACTTAATTAAATAATTAATACATATGAATGACAGTAAATAATGTTGGATAATAATGACAGAAATTTCATTTGAACTATTCCTTTAAATCTTTACTTCTATTTTCTTTCGTTTGGTTAGCATACTGTTTACTATCACAGGCCTTCAAATGTTCTGTTGCCCACCAATGCAGCTCTACATTACGTGCTGAACACAGGTGTAGTTTGATGTGTATGAATGTGAAGTCAAGCGCTCACCTGGAAGACCTCCGTCTGGCTGGACTGAGGATGAGGATGTGGGTCTCCACCCTGCTGGCTGTGGTGTTGACTCTGCCACTGGGACCAGACCTCAGACGGACGACCCTGGAACTGCCCTCCGCTCTGGCTGCTTTCACCTGACACATCTGGAGAAACCAACACATCCTGAGCTTACAGATGAACAGATAATACTTCTATAATCATTTTTCATGGTGTTCATTATAGGAATTCCAGTGAAATGTTTTATGGAAAAGAGCTGTGGAATGTTAACGAAAACTATTAAAAAAATAATTTGTTGATTGAAACAAAGCTGAAATAAAATAAAACAAATATTAGATGAAAAACTTCAACAAAAAAACAATTATAAATACAATAAAAATAAAATGTGTTATAACTGTTAACTAAAACTATTAAAAAACATTTGTTGATTGAAAAAAACCCTGAAATAAAATGTAAATATTAGATGACAAACTTAACCTTTAAGAAACTTGACCTTTATAAGAAAATTCTAAACTGAATAAATTAAATAAAATGTCTTGTTATTAACAAAAACTATTAAAAATTATGTGTTGATTGAAATAAAGATGAAATAAAATAAAATGTAATTAGATGAAAGACTTATAAGAAAATTATAAACTGAATACATTAAATAAAATGTCTTGTTATTAACTAAAACTATTAAAAATCATTTGTTGATTGAAATAAAGCTAAAAAATAAATATTAGATTAGATAAGTTATATTATATTACTTAAAATGTATATTATAGTTACATTAGAAAAATTAAACTGAATAAAATAAAAATAACTGAAATAGAATAAGTGCTAAAATGACTAAAACTGAAAAATAATGCTAAATAGAAAAAAAACAAATAAAAATTACAAAAGCACATAAAATTATTAAAACAAACTAAAATGAAAATGAAAACTGAAACTTCAAAAATAAAAGTTAATTAAAAACATTAATAAATACTATATTATTAGTATATAAATAATACAAAAATAACACTGCAAAAAAAACTTTTTGCGTTCTACAGAAAAAGAAAAAAAACATTCAGGGTGAATCAATGAAGGAAGAATGTTCTGATATACATACTCCACCACTTCTCAACAAACATGTTTATAATTTGTGGTATCAACTTTCACCATTAACTCCAACACACGTCTACTTTTGCAGCATCTCAATCGAGCGTGCATGTAAAACACTTCAACCGTACGACCTCCATTTCGCTCAATTTGTCGCACAGGAGGGGAACCCATTTACTACAGGCTGACAGAATCATTTAAACGCATACATCTAGAGTCTCTTCACCCGCAGGGCCCGAGTCTTTGGTTAGGAAACGAGCAGAGTCGAGAAGACTAATGCGCGGTGGGCGCAGGCGGAGGTGACGACGTGGGTGGGTGTTTTGCAAGATGGCACAGCGATGCCCTCGGGCTGTTTCTCATATTCTCCATGTTGATGAGGCAGTGATGTAAGGTCAAACTTCTCATTTCCCTACTGTAGCGCTTGTAACCCGGACGACGATATTCAGCCGAGAGCGTCCCTTCTCTGGCTCGATTTCTGGCTGTCTTTCCCTCAAGGTTCGGTTGTTTGGCTCCACTGATGCGCCTCGTATATCTCTCTATCAATTTTCCTATTATTCTCTCGTTGTCTGTGTCTCCCCTAGCCATCTTTCTCCGTCCCCATCAATCTGAAATCGGCGTGCGTCAAGCTTAGATGCCGCTTACTCTCTGACCGCTCCATCAAACATGATTCTTAAAAATGAAACGGTGCAAAAAGCAGGCGTGACGAAAGCAAACACATTTCAAACAAAGAGCCGGGCTTTGCTGTTACTCCCAAGTGCTCTTCAAATCAAAGGATTGAAAGCACATTCTCTCGCTTTCATCGTGATAAATGCAGCTCTTGGAAGCATGCTCAATTTCACGTAAGCATTTAAAGACTGCAATTAAGTCACAATGTAGCATTATCACAGTATGAAACATTTGAATGAAGGCAGTATGATGGTTGTTTATGCATTGCATTAGTTGCAAAAAAGAAGATTGTACAAACTATGAAGAACAAATCTAGCAGGAGCCGTTTTCTCTCTGTAAATATAAGATTGTATTGATTTCATGTGAATGTTTTTACATGACTGGTGTTAAGAGTTACTTGACCATTATCTTATTCTTACTCTGCCGATGTTCTTTTCTTTGATCTACTTGTATGTGTGACTGATTGGACACTTGGAAACAAAGACTTAAGTTTTCATCTGTGTAAATATATTGATCACATGTCCTGGAACAAAGATCCTGGCCTTCAGCAAACAATAGCAGTCAATTAACTTAAAACCTATACAAATAAAAAGAAACTGAATTTCTGAAATATGCAGTGGTTTGGTAGTCACCTAATAAGTTCATGATATAAAAATGTTAAAATTAATGAAATTTCTGATCTTCAAACTGCTTCTCTAGCAGAGATGTGCTCCCCTGTCACTTCTCATTTCCATCAGAACTTAATATGAAATATGAAAATATATAAGTTCTTTGGAAAAGGTGCAAAGTACAACTTTCCTTTTTATGAATTCATCATAGAGAGAAAGTCATTAAGTCTGGGAAGGGAACAAGAACATATACTCTGGCAAATTTGGCAAAAGCAATGAAGATTTCATAAGCAACAACAAAAAATATTTATGATCAAATAAACTTGTCTTATTGATCAACTGGGCAATTTTTGATTCTCATTGATTAAAATTGTGCACATACCTTCACTAACTAAGGATTAAAATACAATAATGTGCTCAGTTTGCTGGCATTCAATGAATTAATTCCAAATACAGAAAAAAGACATTCCTGCAGTCTCGGCTTCGTTCCTCCTTTTACGCGTTCAAGGGCTGTCCACGTGAGGAGGTGAAGATAAATGTTCCATTTTCTTTAATGACACCATATTAAAAAAGAATTATCTGGACATGGCTTCATTTTCAAGCGGCTGGCAAAAAGTCTTCAGGGCTTGGAAAGCCATTTGGAGCCTGATACACTCGAAATTGAAGTGGGTTTTTAATGTCACCTCTTTAACATAAATTACTTATTAAATGGACACACTAATCACAGGTTCAAGGTAGAGAGTTCCCCTCAAGGGACACAACAATGGGAAAAAAATGCCATCCTGTAAGCCTCCGTAAGTACGCCCTGCTTCAAATTAAATTCGGTTTATAGACCTGAATGTGGAGAAATTCGAGGCGCCTTTAAACGGATGTAATGCAATAACAACGATTCTACAGTTTCTCCCTTTAAGCCGTTCAGCATGTTCTGCCTTCGGTCGAAGAATGTGAAAAGTTGCACAACTGTGGTGGTGGATCTTTGCCCTTCGTGTCACGCTGGTCAAATTCCTTACTTAAAAGTGTCAGGATTCAGAAACCAGATCTCTTGTAGCATGAGTTAAAAGGTGCAGCACATGACAGATTAATTAAACACACTGCAGGGTGTTTAAAGCCCTGCACATTACAAAAGAAAGACACGCAAGAGCAAGTGAGTTTGACTGATGTAAGATAGAATAGGAGTGGGCGATATGAATGCACAATTATATATATACACTCACCGGCCACTTTATTAGGTACCCCATGCTAGTAACGGGTTGGACCCCCTTTTGCCTTCAGAACTGCCTCAATTCTTCGTGGCATAGATTCAACAAGGTGCTGGAAGCATTCCTCAGGGAGTTTGGTCCATATTGACATGATGGCATCACACTGTTGCCGCAGATTTGTCGGCTGCACATCCATGATGCGAATCTCCCGTTCCACCACATCCCAAAGATGCTCTATTGGGTTGAGATCTGGTGACTGTGGAGGCCATTTTAGTACAGTGAACTCATTGTCATGTTCAAGAAACCAATTTGAAATGATTAGAGCTTTGTGACATGGTGGAAGTAGCCATCAGAGGATGGGTACATGGTGGCCATAAAGGGATGGACATGGTCAGAAACAATGCTCAGGTAGGCCGTGGCATTTAAACAATGCCCAATTGGCACTAAGGGGCCTAAAGTGTGCCAGGAAAACATCCCCCACACCATTACACCACCACCACCAGCCTGCACAGTGGTAACAAGGCATGATGGTTCCATGTTCTCATTCTGTTTACGCCAAATTCTGACTCTAACATCTGAATGTCTCAACAGAAATCGAGACTCATCAGACCAGGCAACATTTTTCCAGTCTTCAACTGTTCAATTTTGGTGAGCTCTTGCAAATTGTAGCCTCTTTTTCCTATTTGTAGTGGAGATGAGTGGTACCCGGTGGAGTCTTCTGCTGTTGTAGCCCATCCGCCTCAAGGTTGTGCGTGTTGTGGCTTCACAAATGCTTTGCTGCATACCTCGGTTGTAACGAGTGGTTATTTCAGTCACTGTTGCCCTTCTATCAGCTCGAACCAGTCTGGCCATTCTCCTCTGACCTCTGGCATCAACAAGGCATTTCCGCCCACAGAACTGCCGCTCACTGGATGTTTTTTCTTTTTCGGACCATTCTCTGTAAACCCTAGAGATGGTTGTGCGTGAAAATCCCAGTAGATTAGCAGTTTCTGAAATACTCAGACCAGCCCTTCTGGCACCAACAATCATGCCACGTTCAAAGTCACTCAAATCACCTTTCTTCCCCATACTGATGCTCGGTTTGAACTGCAGGAGATTGTCTTGACCATGTCTACATGCCTAAATGCACGTAGTTGCCGCCATGTGATTGGCTGCTTAGAAATTAAGTGTTAACGAGCAGTTGGACAGGTGTACCTAATAAAGTGGCCGGTGAGTGTATATACAGTGGGGAGAACAAGTATTTGATACACTGCCGATTTTGCAGGTTTTCTCACTTACAAAGCATGTAGAAGTCTGTAATTTTTATCATAGGTACTCTTCAACTGTGAGTGACGGAATCTAAAACAAAAATCCAGAAAATCACATTGTATGATTTTTAAGTAATTCATTTGCATTTTATTGCAAGAGATAAGTATTTGATACATCAGAAAAGCAGACCTTAATATTTGGTACAGAAACCTTTGTTTGCAATTACAGAGATCATACGTTTCCTGTAGTTGTTGACCAGGTTTGCACACACTGCAGCAGGGATTTTGGCCCACTCCTCCATACAGACCTTCTCCAGATCCTTCAGGTTTCGGGGCTGTCGCTGGGCAATACGGACTTTCAGCTCCCTCCAAAGATTTTCTATTGGGTTCAGGTCTGGAGACTGGCTAGGCCACTCCAGGACCTTGAGATGCTTCTTACAGAGCTACTCCTTAGTTACGCTGGCTGTGTGTTTCGGGTCGTTGTCATGCTGGAAGACCCAGCCACGACCCATCTTCAATGCTCTTACTGAGGGAAGGAGGTTGTTGGCCAAGATCTCGCGATACATGGCCCCATCCATCCTCCCCTCAATACTGTGCAGTCGTCCTGTCCCCTTTACAGAAAAGCATCCCCAAAGAATGATGTTTCCACCTCCATGCTTCACGATTGGGATGGTGTTCTTGGGATTGTACTCATCCTTCTTCTTCCTCCAAACACGGCGAGTGGAGTTTAGACCAAAAAGCTCTATTTTTGTCTCATCAGACCACATGACGTTCTCCCATTCCTCCTCTGGATCATCCAGGTGGTCATTGGCAAACTTCAGACGGGCCTGGACATGCGCTGGCTTGAGCAGGGGGACCTTGCGTGCGCTGCAGGATTTTAATCCTTGACGGCGTAGTGTGTTACTAATGGTTTTCTTTGAGACTGCTCTCTTCACGTCATTAAACAGGTCCTGCCATGTAATTCTGGGCTGATCCCTCACCTTCCTCATGATCATTGATGCCCCACGAGGTGAGATCTTGCATGGAGCCCCAGACCGATGGAGATTGACCGTCATTTTGAACTTCTTCCATTTCCTAATGATTGCGCCAACTGTTGTTGCCTTCTCACCAAGCTGCTTGCCTATTGTCCTGTAGCCCATCCCAGCCTTGTGCAGGTCTACAATTTTATCCCTGATGTTCTTACACAGCTCGATGGTCTAGGCCATTGTGAAGAGTTTGGAGTCTGTTTGATTGAGTGTGTGGACAGGTGTCTTTTATACAGGTAACGGGTTCAAACAGGTGCAGTTAATACAGGTAATGAGTGGAGAACAGGAGGGGTTCTTAAAGGTGCTATATGTATTTTTTAGCGGCCTCTATCGGTGATGTTTCAGATTGCAACCAATTTTTACAAGAGCGCTCGTGCTCTTGCGCGTGCTCGAACACAAGAGCGAGCACTCATGGTACCGGTGTTGTGCTGAATTTCGAAATCGAATTTCGTAATAATTTGGCAGGGGGTCGAAATTCGGCACAACACACAACATTCTGGAAACTCATGTAAGCTCCCACTGCAACGTTACAATAATAGGTTACTTTTATCAGCTTGACGTTGAACTAATGCTCCATGCTCGTACCATGATAACGTTACATTGACTGCATTTAGCCGACATGTGGTGTTATCTAGCTAACTATTCACTAACTATTCGTGTATCTTTCACAATCAGCAATGTCAATAGGTGAATGTATAATATGATAACGAAAACGGTTAGTGAACTAGACTGAACAATTTCAGTGTAACAGTAAGATCGTAGGAAGTAACATTACTGTACTGAACGTGTCTGGAAATGTGTATTATAAACAATATGATAGTAGTGGGATGAGTGACGTTAGACAGTAGATCTAGTACATAAAATAAAAGTTACATCCTAAAGCACCTACTTTTTGTTATCCTGGAACAGTCTTTTGTATTCATTTCATGTTTCATATATGTTGTAGTTTACCTTGCTATTTCATTATAGTTTACCATTATTTCAGCATATCTGAAAACGTGTAATTTATCACAATAAAAATCTCTCCATAATTCAAACGCTCTGCCGATGTTGATCCGTGTATTCGTCCTAAGTCGATCCGATTCACGTTTGGCCTGACAAGCTTCAGCAGATACATTTTTTTTTTTTTTTTTTTTATTTATGTGGAGTTTGTGTTGGAGTGTGTGTTGTGCTGGAGGCAGGTCGTTTTTGGGTGTTATCAGACTCCATGTCGTCAGCTGCAGTGCCGTCGCATAGACTGTATATAAAAAGGAGAGAGGCTCGGGAGCGCGCATGCACTTCACATCCGATGGATTTCGCAGAAAATCCGACCCGGAGACTTCACATAGAAATAGGAATACTGGCCTTCAGAGGTAATAGCAAAACCCGAACAAGTGGATCATTGTAATGTGTGATTACAACCCCTTCACACACAGGCAATAAAAAAAGGATTCATTTTAGAAGAAAAGTTACATATAGCACCTTTAAAGAGAAACTAACAGGTCTGTGAGAGCCAGAATTCTTACAGGTTGGTAGGTGATCAAATACTTATGTCATGCAAATGAATTACTTAAAAATCATACAATGTGATTTTCTGGATTTTTGTTTTAGATTCCGTCACTCACAGTTGAAGAGTACCTATGATAAAAATTACAGACTTCTACATGCTTTGTAAGTGGGAAAACCGGCAAAATCGGCAGTGTATCAAATACTTGTTCTCCCCACTGTATATCGTAAAGAAGTAACCAGCCCCCAGGTGTGTCCACTTCATCGAATCTGGCCTCCTTTAAAAAAAAAGGTTTGGACACTCCAGCTCTATTTCACTTTTTGTGACATCTTTCTTGATGCATGTTTTGATTACCTAAACTTATTTGAAATGCAATTTTCCAAACTTATTGAATAAGTTATGCATGTTGTGTAATAGTAATGATTAAAAGTAGCTGTTCTATTGAGAAGTGATTTAAAAGGGTTTTCAAAACTAAGAACAAACATCTAATTGCCTGTTGTCCAACAATTGTGATCACTCGAACCACAGAAATCTGTTTTTTATACAGTCTATAATAGAGATTAAGTGGCCAATCCAGAGAAACCAAAACAACAAAACTGTTTGTCTCACTATGGATGCCATACAATTCTCACACTGTCTGCTGTTAAAGACAAAGACTGTTTTGTTGAAGACAAATGTCTGTTTCAGTCATTGTGTGTTATAGTCTGTGTTTTATACAGAAATCTATAAATCGCTGTACATGTAAAAGACAGTTCATACAGGCATCTGAAAGGGCCCATGGGAGGATTTTGTTTCCCAGAGGTGCTGTGATGTCACCTCCATATGAATGCCTGTTAATCTAAGACTGACGTCAGTCTGGAACAGATCACGCTTTGAAGCGCACCAGGGATCTTCTGTCAATCATGCGGTGAGATCATTCGACCGTTTCAGGTAAAAACAGAGGGTTGTCACAATATCAAAATGTCAGTAGCTGATATCAATACTTTAAATGATGATCAATAGCATTTCTCATAATACAAAACAAACGAATGCACTCAAATTCTATATTTTGAGACAAATTCAATTGAAGCCAACAAAACCAATGTTTACATAATAAACTTACTAAAACTAACATTTTAACCAAGACATTAACACGTGCAGCTGTAACACAAGTTCAAATTATGATATCTACTTGATCCCGTTGATCAATAAATGATTCAATGAATTTTACAAAGTCTTATTTTGTTTTTAGGGTCTACTAGAATAGGTTTTCATGCTTTAAATGTTCAAAAAATACCTTATTATTCAGATATTTTACATTGTTGCAGTACCTTTCTTCCCAGTCTGTCAGTAACGCTCTGTTTAGCTCCTCCTTTCGAAAAGTGCAATATGCTCTGTTTGGTCAGCTAGACCACTGTGTTGCAATTGGTCAACCGCTTCCAGCGTGTTTCAGAAATGTCACTCCCCTTACCGTTCAACACACTAACGCAACTCAACCAGGCCTTACCGCTTTTTTTGCATATGCGTTGAGCAGGAATTATTTAAATAAGGAAATATTGTGACGAACATTCCCATCAGAAAACTCAAGACTACAAGGGAGGCGTTTGAGGAAGTTCAGAAACAGTGCTTACTGATATAGAGAATAACTCCCTTTGGAGTGACTTCATGCTTTGTAACTTTGCAGACCTTTTCATGCTTTTCAAAAAAGAATAATAGGACCTCTTTAATATACAGCAATGTTAGCGTAATAAACACGTATGCACCAAAATGTAGCAATTTATTTTCATAAATGAACAGATCTTACCAAAAGCAGCGCTGCGATTGGCCAGGTTGGAGTAGGCATTTCCAGAGGGCGAGGAGGTGGCGGGGCTGGACAGAGGGCTGTATGAGGACGGGTCGGCCTGGTAGCTGTGGCTGGAGCCAATGCCGAATGGTGAGGATTGAGCCTTATTGGACTGAGTTTGAATCTGCTGATGTGGTGGAATGACAGGAGACATGATGATGATGATGTTAATATACAGTGGAAAATCGTATACACTACTGTTCAAAAGTTGGGGTTAGTATGTTTTTTTTTTTTGGAAAGAAATTATTACTTTTATTCAGGAAGGATGCATTAAACTGATCAAAAGTGACAGTAAAGACATTTATAAGGCCCTGTTTACACCTGGTATCAAGATGCATTTTGGTCAATTGGATCAAAAGTGGACGACGCTGAATACAGGTCTAAAACGTTTCGAGTTTGTCCACTTTTGATCACTTCCAGAGGTAGTCGAAAACACATTCGACTGGATTGCTTTCGCAGTGTAGATGCTTATGTGGTTGAATGTGTTCACAAAATAATCTACTCCACGCCTACTGATCTAATGCGTAAACACTATGGGAAGAGCACTAATCAGACGGGATTCAAACTTTGTCGGCTGAAGACCCAAGTTTGGTTTAAAGATGAAAAACGTACCAAGCACAATGTTCTCTCACCATTCCTTATTTCTAACACGCACTCACAGCTTTCGGGATGGTCTTGCGTCTATCAGAGCAGAAACGAAAGCTGATGCTCTTCGTATGTTTTACCATTCAATGTCAACCTGGTGCGTTCATATATAAATTGCGTGAGCTTATTTTGTCTAATAGACTGAAAGATCTGGAAAAGCCCATATATTTACCAGCTCATAGACCCTCCCCTCGAAGAAATCAGGACAGAAGTGGTTGAAAGTGGACAAAAGAGACAGATTAAAAACACCAGATGTAAACGGTAATGTGTCTGCCTCGTCTACTTGTGATCTGATCGAACAAAACGCATCTTAATACCAGGTGTAAACAGAGCCAAAATGTTACAAAACCTTTTTATGTAAAATAAATGCTGTTTGTGACGAGCAGGACGAGGCCGAGGGCCTTGAGAGAGCGGTGCGAGGCCGGTGGCATGATTAATGATGAGCGACACCTGCGCGACGCACCGGTCTCGCATCTCTCACGGAGGAACGGAGGCATAAAAGGAGGAGCGACGATCGTGAAGGACGAGAGAGGACAGGCCTGGATTTTATGTTGTGTTTTATTATGTGCGTCAGCAGTCGTCAGTGACGGGCTGCAGTCTTTACTTTTGTTTTGTATTTGTTTATTTATTTATTTAAAAAGTCTTTCTATGTTCGCCGGTTCCCGCCGCCTCCTTCCCATAACAACTAACCTTGCTACACTGTTCTTTTGAACTTTCATCACAAACTCGGTTAGGACAGTTGTTTTAAAGTGTTTTAAGAACAAATAGAACCTCAACACTTTCCATTTCATGTCAAACTCAAGACAGTCGTAAATCAGATCTTACAATCAAACTAAAAGTCTTAACTGGGCTGGGGAGAAGGGAAACCACACAATGGCAGCTGCAGACAACAACCTTTACTTTTAAATCAATGGAGAACCGCAGAGCTACTTGTGGACCAGCATTTCTCTGTTCTTCTGCATAACAAAGCACTTAATATTGGGATTGACTTTACATGAAATTACAAATATGACATGACATTAAAATGATATGCATGCAATTTATTGCTTACTAAGGAGACACAGATGAGAGACCATAAAGCATACACAAACACACTCATCAGAGATGATTAAAAACACACATATCATGAACGCCACACGCAAGGTTCTTCATAACCCCCGGTAACCTTCTCTAATGGCAGGACTCGACATTAAGCCTGGCCTAAAAGACTATTTAAGAGTCTATTTAACATGTTCTAATTTTGTCCCCCCTCTTATTGGTTCATATTAGTTGCACTTAATGTTTGCAGTTATACAGCTATCCAGTTTGAAAATAAAAACAATCTTTTTTTTTTTATATTTAATAAAATAATAAATCATTTTTAGTTGTATATTTTTGGAATAGAAAAAGTTTATATTTTTTGGTTACTTTTACTATTAAAATATATAATTATACATATTTGTCTTAAATATACTGTACATTCATATTATTTTTGGTAAGGCAAGTATTAAAATACATATTTTACTACTGCTTTCCCCTGAATGATCTTTTTCAGCCACTGCTCCACATCCAAACGTGGATCTGGTTTCAATTCTCCCATCACAATGCTAAAGAGGAATGTTCCATTACTTTAATTAATCTGATGGAGAATACAGCGCCAGTGGCCAGCTGCCGGCGCAGGCATGCAAAGGCAGCGATGGGTTCAATCTCACCTGGCCGGAGAAGGGCGGTCGGCTTCCTGTCCAGGACACCTGGCCGGCGTTGATCTGCCGGGATATCTGGGTTAGGTTCTGTCCAGCTGAACCAGCTGTGGACTGGATGTCATTGACACCTGGGACGTGGATCACAGATGAGCTGAAAGACACACACATTATGACATCCCTCTTGATTCTCTGTCAAATATCTGAAGGCCTATTCAAACCAGGCACAGATTTTTGCCAGAATTAAGCATTAAACTGTTAAAAAATGCTACAGAACCCTTTTACACCAGCGCCTGTAACAATGCACCATTTATAATGATAATGAAAGCAACATTCACTGCATCCAAAGAAAGAATTTTAGGCAAAAAATCATGATGGGTCTTGACAGTGACAGGAAAAATAAACTATATATTCTTCAAAAGCACAACACAACATAGGTAATCTAATACAACAATGCCACAAATACTGTCATGGCCAGCAAGAAATAAATAAATGTTCTCAATTCACCTAACATTGACTCCAAAGATAATTAACATTACATCCTGATATATTCCAATATCACCATTTTGTGTCAGGAATGTGACAACATACACTAGCGTTCAAAAGTTGTTTATGATTTTTTTTACAATCGGCTTAAGAGAGTCATAGTTACTCCCGCCGTTTACGCGCTTCATTGAATTTTTTCACTTTGACATGCAGAGCACTGGGCAGAAATCACATTGCGTCAACACCCGCCGCAGGCTTTCACGATGCCTTGTGATGCAAAGCTGAATTTTCAGTATTATTACTCCAGTCTTCAGTGACACATGATCCTTCAGAAATTTATTTGGGGATTTATTTGGGATTTATTTGGTAAATGTGTTTATGTGCATGTCTTCTTATCGGATCAAATGAGTACATGATTTTTTTTATTATGCACATTTTTAGAATAGGTGGATGGAAATATAGCTATAGTTTAAAACAGTTGTGCTGCTTAATATTATTGTGGAAACAGATGATTAAAATTAATAACCCAAACTTTTGAACAGTAGTGTATCAGTAACATTTTAGTGATTTTGCATTATAGCACATGAAAACTGTGCAATCAGGGGTCGTATTCTGCATAAAAGAATATAATGACCAGAGTGTATTTGCATTTAATTTGAAAACTTGTTGTGAACAGGTTTTTAAAGTAGTGAAATGTATTCATCCATACCCAAAGCTCTTGCCAGAGTGTCCGGGCTGGAACGGGCTGCCTTGAGAGTATAACTGCTGCCCACCAGCAGTGGAGGAGGGAACCATCATCTTTTTATCAGCTAAACAAACAAACCCAATAAACAAAGATCCTTATCATGCTCACAGTTATCGGCTACAAAGACACTTAGGAAAAAGAACAGACAAATAGAGACAAACTACAGAAGACAGACATGTAAACTTATCAGAATTACCCAGCAAAACCAGCTTGGAATCATTTTTGTTTTTGCATTATGCAATAATATAATGAATTATTTTTAGCCGTATATTTTTTAATAGAAAAAGTATATCATATATATATATACATACATATATATATTTTTTAATAATAAATAGAGACAAACTACAGAGGAAAGACATGTAACGTTAACAGAATTACCCAGCTAAACCAACCTGGACGAGCTAATGACCCTAAATAACTGACTCTGACCATCAGAAGCTGGATTTTCCAGTACGTGTTTTAGCTGGAATTTCCGACTTCATTTCTTTGTAATACCTACCAACTGCAGCAATCATACATTGTATACATATCATACCATTAATTAAAATAGTGTATAAACTCTAGCTGGCAGACATGCGCAGGCTTTGTAATTACATTAAAGCTGCAGTCCGTATCTTTTCCTCTTTGTCGCCATCTCTCTGTTCGAAATCTGTAACTGCAGTGATTCGCGGAATTATTATCTTTACGTGGGTTGTAAATCGGCATGAAACAGCGCGGATGAACACAGTGCTTTGAGGCGAGTGGTGCTGTCAGTCACCGCGCCGTGTGGATACTGTCATACAGAATCACAGATTCACTTTTTGAAAGTTTGACCAACATAAGAATTTTCATTAGAAAATGTCTTCTGAACAAGTAAGTAAAATCTATTTTTGTTCTGACCTACTAAGGGGGAAAAAGCATTCGACATGATAAGCTTCGTTAGATTTAATCAACGCGATTTACAGCAACCGTGCAAATTATAGCCTACTTTGTTCTCAAATTGTTCATGTTAACAACATCAGCATTGCGTGACTAATGTTAAATTTAATGTGTTTTATGGTTACCTGTGTAGTTCAGAATTCATATTCTCCATAATAGCAAAACGAGAAAGGCATAACAAAGGAAACTCCATAACTGTGTGAATTAATAAAACGTACTGTTACACGATTGAACTATTGAAATGTCTTACTTGTTCAGCAGAAAAAGGCCGTCTCTTCTTCCGTTTTGAACCCCTTCAAAACACGGAGTTCACGCACTTTTCAAAAGCCCCGCCGATGTTTAAATCCTTGTGTTCGCATGAGACGGTTTCTTTCTCTTTCTCTAGCCACCTTAAATCCGAAGTACGAAGTCTTTTGGGTTTTATAACTGCTGAATCTCCAGTTGACACTGATGATTGTTGTTTGGATCTTTCTGGATGCCATAAGTTTAATTATGTAAAGTGCTGCGAGAAAAGCCTATACATCTAAACATCTCGTCACGCGCAGTATAGCCGGCTAGCCGAAACTCCTTCTTTATGTGTACGGGTGTGACGTAATGACGCAAAGACATGCTTGAATTTCCCGCGGAAACCCACCAGTACCACTGGAATTAAAATCATTATTACAAGCTAACCGTTTTGAATCTAGCTATGGCAAGCAGATAGGTTTGACCACTGGCAGAATAAGTTTTTTTTTAATATAATTATTTTGGATTATTTTTAACTTAAAAAAGTTACGGACTGGAGCTTTAAGCGAAATTACAGTAAATTGCTTGTTTAGATTAAAATCAGTGTGTGATGCAGTGCTAGTCACATGTAATATATCTAAGAACATACATGCAGATATTCCCGTGTACATGTCACTGAAGCGAGGGTCTCTCTCCTGGGAGAACAGCGAATCGGCTTTGTCGATGGTCTTGCCCGCCTCATGAACGCCGGATTGAACGCTGGCAACCGGCACCTGTGGGTGTCAACGTGAGAGGTTCAGTTTGTTATTGGTTATTTAACTTGAATGAAAACTAAATGCTAAATAAGAGGTTAAGTCAATGCCACAAGGATCACAAACCCAACTTCACTGAAAGTGTTAAACTGCAAGCTCAGGAATCAATAATGGATAACCAAAAAAAGTTGCTTTCTAAATTGCAGACAGGCGTTAAACATCCATATAGATTGTAAATGCTGGCGGGTGCTACCCAAGATCCCATGTGTGAGGAGTTATCTATTTTCAACAAATAATCCTCACTGCTTTATTAAGATTGACTCAAATGACCCCTTTAACATAAACAGCATGTGATATAGCATAACAACATAATCACTTATGACTCAAAGCAAATGTGCATTAAGTTGTAAAAGTTGTGAAAGATAAAGACAGAGGGCATATTCCAAATGACGGGTGTTATATGTGTGACTTCACCTCATAGCTATGTCCTATTTTTATAGCACAGATTCCACAGAGAGGGAGTTAACAGTCCATAGCTAAAATGACTAAAATTATGCAGATTCTCTATTGCATTTATCAGTCATTACCCACAGTAACATACAGTGCTTTAAGCAATTCTAGCATGCATACCAAGCAAACTAACACATGTCGTGAAGCATAAAGCACAGCACACAACAGTGACCTCATACTTTTACAGTGGAATTGATTCTGGAAGAATTTTTTCCATTCATTTTATCCATTCAAATTAAAAAAGCCATTCATTCTGAGCCATTAACTAAACCAACTAGCTTTGAGATGAATCACAACATTACAAACTCTTATTTGAAGCAAACAAGTATTTGAAAATCAGAAAAAAAAAACATTCAAGTACTTAAAGTAGGCATGAAAGGAAAGTTGCAACTGATTTTACTACCATATTGTGACATATTTCCATTTTATCAATGATTAAAAGAGGTAAAAATCGCTTGTTGATTGTATTGTATATTGTAAAAAGTGAGCGTTGCACACTGGAATAGAGGCAGAACTGAATGTGAATGGCTGCAGCGCGTCATCAAATGAGCATATCACAGGATGACCAAGTTATGACATTTTAATTAAAGATCACAATATTCTGTAAAACTAAATTAATAAACAAATGCATGGATGAATTGTTTGCAATAAGATCAGTTACATAAAAAAATAATTTGATTTCATGCTGACTTTAAATTCTTTTGTGAAACAATGAATAACACAAATCGCAAAGCAAATAACAATTTAATTAAAAACAACAGTGTACAATAAGTGTACTAAGTGACTTTTCACTTACTATAAAAAAATAATATGTTGTATTTTACCAGTAATATTGGCTATTTTCAAGGCGAAAACCAAACTTGAATAAATTAAATAAGATATTTAAGACAAGTGTTTTTGCCTAAAAATTGTAAAAAAAAAAAATTTGCACTAACTTGATTATAAAGCTTAAACCACTTTGATAGAACAGAAAAGCTAAGGGAGATATGTCTACTGCTTGTGAAAAAGAAAATCTTCTCAACTGTTTCTCAACTGTTTCTCCTAGATAGCAATAAGATTAAACAGAGAACAAATGGAAACGTTTGCTGAAGTCTGTTATTTTATGCAAAAAATACATTATTTCAATAATTTAACAACACATTTGCATGTTCACAGTTCTCTGATGTCAGTAAAGTGAGACAGTGAGGTCTAGCATTTACGCAGATTTAGTAATCGACAATCAAACATTATATATCTCAATATGAACTCTCATTTCTCATCAAATGCCCCAAAACCAAACGATCTTAGCCATTATCCACATTAATTTTAAAGCTCTAAACTCTATTTAGTATAAAGTATATAGTATATATAGTAGAACAACAATAACTAAGGGATTTTCGGAGAAACATCTGAGACGAAGTTGATGAAATATGACAGTTAACTCTAAGTCTCTTAAAACTTTTAAAGAGCACTTCTAGAGAATAAAATTTTCCTCTGGGAGCTTCACTGACTGATATTCAGTTTTTATAAATCTAAAACAGGCTCAGCTGTGACACTAATGGAGGGACTTGCATATAAAATGAAGGAGGATAAATTATACATACTACACAAGCTAAAAAGAGCAATGCACCTGTAAGGGTTAGGTGACTAAATGACAAGCTAAGAGAAAAGTGTGTATGCGCACCTGCGACAGGTCGTAAGCAGTCAGTCCATCTCTCTGGTGAACTTCCAGTTCGGCTTGCTGCTGCTGCTGAAGCTGCCTGGAATAAAACACAACCAACATACAATTTTAACATCAACACCTGCTGTTTATCATATTCCAGTTTGATTAAAGGCATCATTAACTGAGCATGTAGATATATATATACTAGTCCAATAAACGACCTCAAATGAATATTCGGTTTTAGTAAAACCAGATAAATTATATACATAACACTCCAATCCATATTCTTTATATATTGCCCAAGATCATCAAAGCCAAAAATTGGCCTATATGTGAAATAGTGTAGTAAATTACACAATGTTATTATGAATGTAGTACACGCTTTCTTATCAAAAGTGATGCACAGTACATTTTACTGCAGTGATTTAGTGGCTTACAGCTCATGTAACACTACTTCTGGGAGGAATTGTTTTTATAATAATTTTATTTTATTTGTATCTATTTTTTTCTTATCATCTGGTCCTTGGCAGTTCTTAAAGGTGCTCTAAGCGATGTCACACGTTTTTTAGGCCAAAATATTTTTTGTCACATACAGCAAACATCTCCTCACTATCCACTAGCTGCCTGTCCCCTGAACACACTGTAAAAAAACGCGGTCTCTGTAGACACCCCAGGCTCCACAAACGGCAACAAAAACAAACTGGGGCAACCTGGACCACGAAACAAAACGAACAGTGTTCCAGCCAATAACCGAGAAGAATGATTTGGGGGTGGGGTTAGTGTGCGTACACATGAAGGTGGGTGTGGAGGAGAGAGGAGCATGAAGAGGGAAGTTAGATATAAGTTAGATACTCTTTAAGTTTGATATGGCCGACACACGAGGTTCCGATGAACAGATTGCAAAAATGCAAAGAAGAGGGAAAAGGAGAAGGAACGCGCGAAGTCCCGAATTTACATTGGAAAAGCCTTTAAAAGCTGGCGAGAACTCCGCCGGCAGAAGTGCTTCCAATCTGACATTCAGGTAACGTTAGCTCTGTTTTTGCTGGACAGGTGGGTAAATCCAGTTTGGTTTTTCTAAATGGACTTTCATGTTCACCTAACATACACAAGGATATAATTAGGTAGAACAATGCAGTCAGCGCTAACTTTGGTGAATACACATATAGGTTTCTAGCAGCTAGCTATCGATCTCTATTGTAAATGATCAAGCAAACTCACAGTAAGGCAAGGCAAGACAATTTTATTTATATAGCACGTTTCAGCAGAAGTGCAATCCAAGGTGCTTTACAAAAAAACATAAAATATAAAAGCAACATTTAAAAACAGATTAAATACAAGAATAAAAGTTACAATACAGTACAATGAATAAATTAAATAAAAATAAGTAACATTAAAAAGATAGGTCTTCAACCTTGATTTAAAAGAACTTACAGTTATCAGGGAGTTTGTTCCAGATATGTGGAGCATAAAAACTGAACGCTGCTTCCCCCTTTTTGGTTCTAATTCTGGGGACAGGAAGCAGACCTGTCCCAGATGATCTGAGAGATCTGGGTGTTTCATAGCTTACAAGCAGATCTGAAAAGTAACTAGGTCCTAAGCCATTTAGTGATTTGTAAACCAGCAGAAGTACTTTAAAATCAATTCTTTGTGATACAGGAAGCCAGTGTAAAGATCTCAAAACCGGAGTAATGTGATCCATCCTCCTGGTCCCTGTAAGGACCCAAGCAGCGGCATTTTGAATTAGCTGAAACTGTCTGATAGATTTTTTTCAGGAGGCCTGTAAAAAAAATGTTACAATAGTCCAGTCTACTAAAAATAAAGGCATGGACAAGTTTTTCCAAATCCTGTTGCCACATAAGTCCTTTAACCCTTTATATATATTTTTAAGGTGGTAGTAAGCAGACTTTGTTACAGCCTTAACATGATGATTAAAATTCAGGTCTGGGTCCATAATTACACCAAGATTTCTGGCTTTGTCAGTTGTTTTTAGCATCGTTGTTGTTTGGAGATAAGTGCTGACTTTTAGGCGTTCGCCTTTTGCTCCTAAAACAACCACCACAGTTTTTTCCTCATTTAATTTTAGAAAATTCTGGCACATCCAATAATTAATTTGTTTAATGCATCTAGCCAAATCTTGTATTGGCCTGTAGTCCCCGGGTGACAAGGTTATGCAGACTTGCGTGTCGCCCGCATAACTATGATAGCTAATGTTGTTGTCTTCCATAATTTTAGCTAGAGGAAGGATGTAGATATTGAACAGTAGAGGTCCCAGGATGGAACCTTGAGGAACTCCACACGTCATACTTGTATGTTTAGATGCAAAACTACCTATGGACACATAATAGTTTCTGTTCTTTAAGTAGGATTCAAACCACTTTAGTACTGAGCCGGAAAGGCCTATAAAATTTTCCAATCGGTTTAGTAGTATGTCATGGTAGACCGCATCAAAAGCAGTACTGAGATCTAGCAATACTAAAACTGTAGTTTTGCCACTATCTGTGTTTAGATGGATGTCATTAAAGACCTTAACAAGAGCCATCTCAGTGCTGTGATGTGGTCGGAAACCCAACTGGAAGGCATCAAAAATATTGTTAAGAGACAAAAAAAAAAAGGTTTAGTTGTTGAAAAAACACTTTTTCAATTATTTTACTTAAAATTGGAAGGTTTGATATCGGTCTATAGTTATCCATTAGTGACGCATCTAGATTGTTCTTTTTTAAGAGTGGCTTAATTACTGCAGTTTTTAGGGCCTGTGGGAAGATACCTGCTTGAAGAGACATGTTTACAATCTGCAAAAGGTCAGAGACCAAACAGTTTGAAACGTTTTTAAAAAGGTCTGTCGGCAGGATATCATGGCAACAGGAGGAGGTTTTCAGATGTTGTATAATATCCTCCAAGTTATTTTGGTTAACTGTTTGAGATTCTGACATATGAAAATTTATTTCACCGAGTAGTTTGATAGTACATACTCTGTATTTGATAAGGAGACACTAACTGATTGTCTGATTTTCTGAATTTTTTCACTGAAGAATGTGGCAAAGTCATTGCAGGCCTTGGTGGATAATAGTTCAGATGCTACTGCTATGGGGGGGGGGGGTTTGTTAATCTATCGACAGTAGCGAATAAAGGCAAAGCATGTGCATTGTTATTGTTTTTAGCAATAATATCAGAGAACTTGGAGACAAACCGCCATTTGCGTTCAGCTATTCGACACTCTCGTTTTCCGGATCTTACAAGTGGGTCATTTCTCCATGGAGATCTATTTTTACTAGAGACAACTTTGACAGTAGGGCGACAGTTTGTGTGAATGATTGTTTTCAAAAACTATTTGTTATTAATTTGAATGTTCATTTATAGCCTATTGACAACTTTGACAAAATTTATTTATGACGGAGCTGTTGTTTATGCTCACTGGAAAACACGAAGCTAACGTTATCTTGCTATTATTGCATCCTTGTATGGGAGCTAAAGTTATAACCTCAGGCGGCATAACGTTTTATTGTGTTTCTCTGGTAATGTTTCTCTTTTTCTGCATTATATGAAAGCATTTATCTAACTTGGCGGCATTACACCTTGAATGAAGTATCAGTAAAACTACAGGGGGAGGGGACGGGATGAGGAGGAGGGAGGGTCTAGCTAGCCTCCGTTTTGTTTGACAATACTTCGAACGTCAATAAGAAGTGACGTCACCCAACATCGCTTAGAGCACCTTTAAAATTAGGTAAATACAACCTCAGATGAATAACAACATATAACATATTACACTGTTTCATGGTTTAACAAAAACTAGGCCAAAATGGAGAATTAGCATGGGTGACAAACTAAGTACACCCTTATTGCTTCCATAGGAATTAAGAGTTTAAGTAGCAGTCAGGCGCGGCTAATCAAATGTCTTTGATTAATTGATCATCAGCAAGCATCAAAAAGCAGAAGTTTTAGCAGTTTGCTGGTCTGGGGGATTTAGGCGTGTTAACACGATGGCAAGGAGGAAAGACATCAGCAATGATTTTAGAGAAGCAGTTGTTGCTGCCCGTCAATCTAGGACGGGTTAAAAGGTCATTTCCAAACAAATTGAAGTCAATCATTCTACAATGAGGAAGATTTTTCACAAGGGGAAAACAGTTGCCAATCTTCCCAGGAGTGGACGTCCCAGCAAATTCACCCCAAGGTCAGACCATGCAGTGCTTAGAGAAACTGCCAAACACCCAAGCGCTACATCTCAGACTCTACAGGCCTCCCTCCTTCGGATGAGACGTTAAACCGAGGTTCTGACTCTGTGGTCATTAAAAATCCCATGGCACTTCTCGTAAGAGAGTAGGGGTGTAACCCCGGTGTCCTGGCCAAATTCCATCCAATGGCCCTTGTCAATCATGGCCTCCTAATAATCCCCATCAATTGAATTGGTTCTATCTCTCCTCTCCACCTATAGATGGTGTGAGGTGAGCTGTGGCTGCCGTCGCATCATCCAAGTGGATGCTGCACAGTGGTGGTGGTTGAGGAGAGATTCCCTGATACAATTGTAAAGTGCTTTGGGTATACAGTAGTACATATGAAAGCGCTATATAAATGTCTCATTCATTCGTTCAGTTAGCATGTTAAATATTAAAGTTCATGACATTACAGAAAAAGACTGAACAAGCATGGATTGTTTGTAAGGGTTGCCAGGAGAAAGCATCTTCTCTCTAAAAAGAACAGCAGCAGCACGGCTAAGGTTTGCAAAGTTGCATCTGAACAAACCACAAGACTTCTGGAACAGTGTCCTTTGGACAGATGAGACCAAAGTGGAGATGTTTGGCCATAATGCACAGATCCACGTTTGGTGAAAACCAAACACAGTATCCTCATACCAACTGTTAAGCACGGTGGTGGAGAGGTGGTGATTTGGGCTTGTTTTGCAGCCACAGGACCTGGGCACCTTGAGTCGATCATGAACTCCTCTGCATATGAAAGTATTCCAGAGTCAAAAGTGAGGCCATCTGTCCAACAGCTAAAACATGGCCGAAATTGGGTCAGGCAACAGAACAATAATCCCAAGCATCCCAGCAAATCTACAACAGAATGGTTGAAAAAGAAAAGAATCAAGGTGTTGCACTGGCC